CTCAATGTTATGGCCTAAAGGGTGTAAAGTTTGGAGCTCAAACACCCATTTAGTCTCGGCTTGGGAAACCGCCCTGGTTTTGTTAATACCCCTCCAATGGTTATTGATCACATCGATACCAATGAATTTCAGTGAAGATGGGTCATTATTATGGTGAAGGCGGTAATGGTTCGATAATGAGTGCTCCCTAAACCCCTTCTTAATGTTTGAGACGTGTTCACGTAGTCGATCTCGTAGACGTCTTGTTGTCCTGCCAATATATTGTTTGCGACAGGGACACTGCAACAAATACACTACAAATTTACTATAACAAGAGATAAAATGCTTAATGCTGTATGTTCTACTCGTGATAGATGATTCAAATGTGCTGACTCTCCTTTTTCTAGTATTGTCACACTTACAAATAATGCACTTGTTACAGGGGTGAAACCCTTTCAAATCATTAAACAGAGATATGTTTTGAGGAGGGTCGACGACATTTGGTGCAACCATAAGCCTAACAGCCGTTGCCTTCCGAAATACAATTTCAGGCTTATCTGGTAAAATTGTTGTTAAAACTGGGTCCATTTTTAGAATGCCCCAATTATCATTCATTATTTTATTAATCTTCTTATATTGAGTTGAGAAGGATGTGATGAAGGGGCATATTTTCCTTTGATTACTCTTTGATTTATCCATCAGCATGGTGTTTCTATCCATCTGCGCTATTGTCCGTATAGTGTGATCAAGGGTTGCCCCATTGTATCCCTTCTCTAAAAACCTCTGCTTTAAAATGTCGGCCTGAATATGGTAAGTCTCATCCTCTGTACAATTACGCCTAATTCTCATCATCTGTCCTTTAGGGATATTGGACAGCCATTTAGGGTGATGACAACTCCCAAGAGGGATGAAACTATTGCGATCTGTTGTTTTGAAGAATGACTTAGTAATGATTCTACCCATGTGGTTAACAAGTGTCAAATCTAAAAAATTTATTTCTTCATGACTATAGACATATGAGAGCTTAATATTAAGGCTATTATAATTCAATGTATTAAAAAAGTTCTTAAGAGACTCCTCCTCCCCATTCCATAAAAGCAAGATATCATCAATATATCTTTTATAAAACAACAACTCAGGCCAATCTCTGGAAAAAATGAGGTCCTCCTCCCACCGGGCCATGAACAAGTTAGCCAGGCTGGGGGCAAACTTAGCCCCCATAGCCACACCTCTAATCTGCAAAAAGTACTCTTTATTGAACCAGAAATAGTTCCTGAACATCGCGAATTCCAATAATTCTAAAATGAAATCCTTCTGGGTGGTATGTAGGGAGCTGTATTGCGTCAAGAAGAAATCAGCTGCCTCCATACCATCATTATGATTGATGTTCGAGTACAAAGAAGCAACATCGGCTGTTACTAAAAAAGTATCAGGTGAAGTGACAATGGTGCTAACCTCATTGAGAACCTGTTTGGTGTCTCTTAGGTATGCTGCAGTTTGCAAGACAAGCGGTTGTAGAAAAAAGTCCACATATTCCCCAATCCTGGAGCAAAGTGAGCCAATACCGCTTATTATTGGCCTCCCCGGTGGTTTTACGGGGTCTTTGTGGACCTTCGGCAGTATGTATAGGACTGGTAGTTTCGGTGCTGTTGGAACTAAGAAGGCTTTTTCCTTTTTATTCAAAATGCCTTTGTCATAACCTTTGTTAATGATCATTTTAAGAGACCGTTTGAATTCAATCTTGGGATCCTTAAGTAAACGGACATATGTAGTGTTGTCACTCAGGATATGGTTGACTTCACTAATGTAGTCCTCCTTATTGAGAACAACCACGCCGCCACCCTTGTCAGCTGGCCTGATCACCAGATTGTTCCTTTCTAATAATAGTTTGATAGCTTTAGAGTCACCTGATCTATCAAATGCTCTCTTATCTGGTAGTAATGTTAACTCTTTCAAGACTTTATCCCTGAATAAATTCACGTAAGTGTGGGTTTGCGGAGGAGGGTTATAAGTGGATGCATTGTGTAAGTTGGAATGAGTATATCTATCAGTTGGGGCATCCTTAGTGATAGGATTAGTGGTGAAATACCTTTTCAAGGATAATTGTCGTGCAAATTTATGTATGTCCATATAGGTTTCAAATCTGAAACACTGCATTTCTCTGCCATTGTATCTACTCTTAACACGTCAGCCTCACGTCACTAATAATGAATTGGCTGCGGCATTGACAGGCCTGGAAGTGCCGGAGTGATTGCTTCTGAGCGCAGACATTGCTAGTATAGTTCCTTTCTGCATGCTACGTTCCTACTTTAGGTTGCCTTTGGCAGAAACCTTAGGACAGATTTATATGGGTGGAGAACATATTTAAATGAGGGCACTATGCCTGCAGTGATCTCCTGTCTTAATAAACGTATAACTTGTCTAGATTTTTAGGACCTAGCCGACAGAAGACTGGAATCTAATCTGAAAGCGTCTTTTTCCTTTGCTGGCTCTGCTATGCAATCTGCTGTGACAGCCATTGATGTTTGCCAAAGCCTGGGAAAAAAAAAAACAAAAAACAGCACATGTAGGGGAATTTATGGAATCACCACAGGCTGTGGTTTGCAGATTTTGCATTGGGCTTTGATGTCAGTTCACAGATGCAGGGTTCTGTGCTTAAAAAATGTGCTGCTGAGTTGCCCTGTAAAAAGTGGTTGGCAGGCTTTCTTTTTCACTGAGAATGCATGTTCGTGAGAATTGGACAAATACATTTAAGAGATCTTCAGGGAAAGAGTTCCCCTTTGCTGCCTAAAAAGAAGGGCAAGCTTCTGGTTTATAGAGGAATGGTTGCTTCACCAGCTGGTACTTTGCCATCCAGGCAATCTTTTTGGAGCTCAAAGGATTCTGGATCCAGAATGAAATGACAGGGCCAGAGGGCTGGCCACAGCTCAAGAAAAAGTCCTGTCTCTGAGAAATCAAGTCCTGGAAGCTAAAATAGGCGAAGATTCCATATCTCCCTAGCTCCCAGTGCATCATGGGAATTAGACTGGTGGATGGTTCCTCAGAACCTGGACAGAGGAAAGTCTTTCCTCCCAGTAGTCTGGTGGATAATGTCTATAAATGCCAGTCTGTTGGGTTGGGGAGCCATTTTGGGATTTGCCTCAGTACAGGGGTCTTGGTCTCCTCAGGAAATGCGTTTGGAGCTTTGGGCTGTTTGGTTTGCACTGGATGAACTGGTTGTGTGGTCTTCCAGAAAAATTTCTGCCCGACAATACCACAGCGGTGGCATGTATCAATCAGTAGGGCAGCACTAGGGTCAGATTGCCCAGGAGAAAGTGAGTCATATTCTGACATCTAGGTTCAACAATAAGGTGGACTTAGGGAACTTGGTGGTTAATGGCCCTTGAGCAATTCCAATACGGCCAGACCTGTCTCAGGGACTAGTCTTGCACTCTGTTTTACAATTGCTCAGTGAAAGTCTGGCTATTGAAGCCCAGGTGCTGAAGGATTGGGGTTTGTCTGGGATGGTTTTCTCTACTCTGTTGAAAGCAGGAATCCGGCATGCAGGTGTATTTACTCTTTGACTTGGAAGTTTTATGTGTCCTGGTGTGAAGCCAGGAAGTGGCATCCTTGGATGTTTTTGATTGAATTTTGGCCCTTCTCCATACAGGAATAGAGCTAAATTTGCCTTTAAATACCATTAAAGGCTAGTTATCGGCTCTGTCTGTTTTTCCAGAGGCTGATTGCTTCACATTCGTTATTTCGTTGTTTTGTTCAATGGTGTCCAGTATGGTTCCACCTGTTAGATCTGCTTGTATCGTTGTGATTTGAATTTGGTTTTGGCTGTTCTTCAGAAACCACGTTTTCATCTACTTTGTGATATTCCATTAGTCTTATTGACTCAGAAGGTGGTTTTTACTTCTTTCTTTTTTTGGTTGTGATCATTTTGACAAGAAGGGTATCACAGCTGGCAGCTCTTTTGTGTAAGGAGCCATTTTTTGGTCTTTCACCATGATAAACGAGTGTTTCAGCCTCCTCCATCTCTTTTGCCAAAAATGGTTTCAACTTTTCTTTTTAATCAGGACATTGTCTTACCTTCCTTTTTTTCTGTAGTCGCTTTTTTTTTTCGGTACATGCGTTCACAAGGGTTTACCTCATGGATATGAGAGCTGTAGTGGATACTGTTTTTGGCCACAGCATGTTGCAGAGAGCAGAGTAGGTTCCTTAGGATTGATGATGGTTTTTTATGTCCCTCCCTCAAGTGCATTGCTTTGGGACATCCTACATGGTAATGATTATAGCCTGCTCTGTGTCCAATGATGTACAATAAAGAAACTTGGATTTTTGGATTTTTGCTACTTACTTATCTTTAAAATCCATTTCTTGGCGTACATCATGGGACACATTGCGTGCTACAAAACTGGGGGACTTCATGTATGGGAGGGGTTGTATAGGGGAGGACTTCCTGTCTGTTTTAGGTTTTCCAGTGTCCATTCACCTATAGGTTGTGCATAACCCAGATGGTAATGATTATAGCCTGCTCTCTGTCCTGTGATGGACTCCAAGAAATGGATTTTACAGGTAAGTAAGTAGAAAAAACACCAGTGAAGGAGAAAAATTACCTGTTTGCTAAATTTTTTAATTAACTAAGGAAAAACATTTTTTTTCGGAATTTTGGTATTTTTTTGTTTGTTTAGCAAAAAATAAAAAAACGCAGTGGTGATCAAATACCACCAAAAGAAAGATCTTATCTGTGTCAAAAAAATTATAAAAATTGTGTTCGGTTACAGTGTTGCATGACCATGCAATTGTCATTCAAAGTACAACAGCGTAGAAAGCTAAAAATTGGCCTGGGCAGGAAGGGGGTGAAAGTGCCCTGTAGGCAAATGGTAAAGAAAGTTCACCTTTACTAATCTCTGGCCTGTCTTCAAATGTCTCATAATAGTTTCTTTTTTTTTTATTAATAATTTATCTTTTTTATTCCTCATTTTTGGATACTTGTTCTGTTCATGCAAAATAAAATGCTTTTTGAAATCTTACAGGGTAATGCTTACTTTAAGGAAGGAAAATATGAGGCTGCTATTGAATGTTATACTCAAGGAATTACAGCAGACAGTACAAATGCACTGCTACCAGCAAATCGAGCCATGGCTTATCTGAAAATTCAAAAGTAAGTATTGTATATTAACAACTGAAGTAGGGAACAACTCCACTCCCACTTGCTATTCTGTATTGAATAGGCTACGGCATGGTTTGATACTAAGCAGCATTGTTAAAAGTCTCCAGAGACACAGTGGGATTATCTTTCCCTACTCTGTTGTTCAGGTAATGAGTATTGCTCAGGTGTATTCCACCCAGCAGTGTCATTTATCCTTTAACAAGCAGTATGGGAAAGAAACCTACCCTATTTCTTCCAAAAAAGAATAATCTATTTTGAATTGCCCTTAAATGTTATTGCTTATACCCAGATTTTGTTTGCAAAAAAGTTTTCCTTAATCGACCAACATGCACTTTGTAAAAAATGTGATTTACAGATAATTTGCTCTGAAGATAGAGGATCAGGACCGTTCAATAAAGGTTGTGTTCCTACTACACAAACAAAGGAAGAAAAGAATGGCAACAGTGCACGATTGGTTAATGCTGTGTATTATGGTTTACAGTAAATAACTGCTTGAAAGCTCAGTCATAAATGTATATGTGTGCTGCAATCTCATTAGTATCTTCCAAGGTCAAGGTCATTTTACTCCACTAAGCAATCACTAAGCTTTTCCAAGAATTTCCAAGAAATCCCTTTGGAGATCTTTGTGTGAATGGTGTGACATTTAAGTATCTGTTAATACAAACAAGGTCATAGCAAAGTTGACTGTGAATCAATATCTGTTTTCCATTTTGTGCTAAAAATGTCTGCCACAGCAATTTATGTGACAAAAAAATTAGGTAAAGCAGATATTGCTACGGCTTTCCAATGTTTTGTAAAATACTTTTCTAATAAAATTTGCAATAAAACAATGTCTTGGTTGGTATTTCAGATACAAGGAAGCTGAGGAAGATTGCACACAAGCCTTAGCTCTAGATACAACGTACAGCAAAGCTTATGCCAGAAGAGGGACTGCAAGAATAATGCTTGGAAAACTGAAGGAAGCAAAAGAAGGTGACTAATAAAAAGCTAAATGGCATTTAGATACTTATTCATAAGTCTAGTGATATACTTTCATAGATAACGTCCATGTAATGTCAGAATTCGTTAAAGATTCATTTTATTTTTTTTTAAATAACAAACATGTCTATGCTTCCCTGCTGTGTGCAGTGGTTTTTCACAGAGCAGCCTGGATCCTCCTTTCTCGGTTCCCCCCACAGGCTCTCCTGACCCTCCATCTTGTCGGGTGCCCCCACAGCAAGCAGCTTGCTATGGGGCACCCACTGCTCTGTGTCCATTCACACATGGAGCCATGACTTGGCCCCACCCCCTCTTTCTTCTCATTAACTGACTGGCTGTGATTGGACAGCAGTGGGAGCTAATGGCTCCTGCTTGCTGTCTCAGCCAATGAGGAGGCAGAGACCTGGGCCAGCCGAGGCTGTCATTCACATCAATGGATCGCGATGAGGCTCAGGTAAGTATTTAGGGGGCTGGGGGCACTGCTGAACACAGAAGACTGGGGGCACTGCTACATAGAATGCATGAAGGTAAAAAAAACCTTGAGCCTTTACAACCACTTTAATTAGGTTGAACTACATAGTTATTTTCGGTAGGTAGTTCATTTCAATTTCACTTTTCTGAATATTATTACATTAATGCACTCCTCGGCAGTAGTGTACATTACTTTCAAGGAAGAACACAGCAAGAGCAGTAGCAGATCAGTCTTGGGTAGAACTTCTTGTTATAACCTTACAAACAAATGACAACCACCCCAACCTATAACTAGCTTTTGCAGAAAGGAGCACATGGAAGGGCAATGCACATCAAGAACAATCAAAAATTCCCAGCTCAATTACCAGCTAGCCTGCAACAATGCCAAATGGACCTTGTCCTATAGTTCAAATTGAAAACACTATATATATATATATATATATATATATATACATATACACACACACCGTTTGCGCTATATATGCTCCTACCTGGGAGACTCTCAAATTATAGAGGCCTTCAAAATTGGGAGCATCAAACCCCTCCTTCCAAGGCACACAATCTCTGGGGGGGTTTAGGGGACAAGGACCTCATCCCATCTGTGTCGGGGGAATTATTGGAATGTGAACGACGTAGATCCATGTCAATCACAATGCACCACAGCTTCACAATGCTGACTCGACAATTTTCATCAGGTGCTACTGCTGTGGTAGCATTACTACCACTAAATAATCAACAGCTTCTGTTTGTAAGTAAGCAATATATTTTCCTGACACCAAGGGAAAAAAGGTGACAGGGGAGGGAGCTCCAGTGCACAGTCTGTGATTGACAGCTTTAGCTCTGTTCCTGTGTGCTCCATGAAGGTGAGGGGATGTATCTTCCCTCCAGACAGCTTTCAGAGCTCCCATCACTGAGCTCAGCAGAGCGTAACTTCAGCTCCCTGCCCCCTGTTTTCTGAAAACACAGATAAGCTGTATACATTCTTTAAATGATGTAGATGAGAGAAGACTACAGATAAACAAGTAAACTTTATGTAATTTTATGTAAGATGATTTGTTTCATCTCTGTGTATCAGTATCACCTGAGGCTAGTCACTTCCCTGGGTATATGTAAGGGATTACAACCACCAGGCCCCTTTCAGATGGGGCGGATCTGCTTGCTCAGCAGGGGATCTCTCCGCTGATCCCTGCTGAGCAAGTGGATGACAGGTCTGTGTCCACTCCACTGACGCAAAGCAGACGCAGACACAGCCTGCTGTTTTGTATGGGGCGGTCGGATGGAAATGGACTGCCTGTCCATTTCCACGTGACTTAATTCCGATCCGCCAGACGGATGGGGAATGGATCCCTATCCATCTGTTTTTAGTGTACAGGATTGGATGCCAGCAGGTGTCAGCGGACACATGTCTGCTGACACATGGCACTCCATGGAGAGCTATGGATGATCCGATTGGGTCCTCCTGAAAAACGGACCTGATCAAACTGTCAGTGTGAAAGGAATCCTTAAAGAATGGTATTTAAATGATTTGTGTATTATTAATGTTGTTCTTTAGGCCACATTAAAAGACCTTCTCCCTGTTGAACTGTATTTTTTCAATGTTTGCATTGGCACATGTTCTACATGACAGTGCACAGCTACACACATATCCTTTTTTAACAAAAGCTAATCAGAGTTAGCTGACTTTATGCTGGGTTTGTCAAACCTCCTGCAAGCCAAATTTTGCCCGGTTCGTTCATCCCTAATTATGACTGTTTGAACAATATATACATTACATGGCAAGTTTATAGCAGAGCTTGCCCTAAAAACTGCATGTCAATTCATACGGGGATAGAAGTATGATTTGTTTAGCCTAAAAGGAAATTCTTCCCTATTTTGCATAATTTTTGTGCATAAAGTGGCCTTTGCTACTAAATAAAGCCTCAGCAGTGACTTCTGAGAGGGAAATCTGTGAGTTACATTGTTGCACTGGAGGAATTTGACCTGCCTTGTCTAACTGGGACAGGCCTTTTGCTGTTCTTAATTAAACAGACAATGATTCCTTCATGTTTCTAGCTTAAAGCGGAATTTAAAAAAAAAAAAAAAGGGGTTTCCAAAAACAGTTATATTCCTGGCATGTGCTGGGAATTCTGTCACATTTGCTTGTGTTCTCAACCAAATTGTCAAACCATCAAATGGCTGGTGTCATAACTGATCACATGTGCAGCACCATGGCAGTTGAAGATCAGGCAGAAGCTAAGATGGCAGTTTCATTGGCTGAAAATTATAGGCAGGTTTAGTTCCACTTTAAGGGTTGTTAGTGAGCATTGTCATAGAGTTCTATGACGGCTTTGGAGACGCTTTGAAGCACCAAGAAACTGACATGGAGTATCATTTTTGAAACGAAGAAAAGCGAACACAGCCGTGTAAACAGGACTGTAAGGTAACCATTTTATTTATTAAGAGGTGCTTTGATTGGCATTAAGAGCGCTTTATAAAAGCATGTCAGATGCCACATTTTGAGGGGAGCGTAAAGGAGCCCTAAGGGATTCCGACCCTTTGGCTGAGGTTGTTTTTTGTGAAAGCCAACGATAATTGTGTTTGTTTTTTTTTCCTGAGATGATATAATGTTTACTTTAGTGGCTGTAATTGTCTTGCCAATGTGTGCTTTTTTGTAAGACTTGTTATCTTCTCTATAAAACAATCTGGAAATTTATAGTATTATGTTGACTGTTGCAGATTTTGAAGTGGTTTTAAAACTGGAGCCTGGTAACAAGCAAGCAATATCAGAACTTGCAAAAATATCTCAGGCAAGTATATTGACATAAGCTGCATGCTGTGAAAGGTAATATTCTGTTTGTGTTGTCCATACATCCCACATTCACATGCATGATCTTTGCAACAGTCTTCCATTAGTCATCGGATTAAATATTTTGATATTTTGTAGCTGTGGTGTTAATAGGGTAGATGTCATTATTGGCAAGGTGGTCAGTTTTTTAACAAAATTTAGGAAAAAAAATCCACTGTAGAAATAAACCTGATGTATTGTTAGGTATTTATGAAATGCTACTCTAACATGATTGGAAATCAAAAAATAAATAAATAAAATCAGTAATTGAAGTCTTACTGTTATATGTGGCAGTACTAGAGATGTGTACTGTGTTAGCTATCGATCAGTGCAAACAGTTGTAGTTATTGATACCTTTTATTTATCGGCTAACTGACGTTTCTAAAGATGTCAGCTTTTGGAATCCTTAAGATCCCTTTTGTGGACTGTCCCGAAAGTTTGCATCTTTACTAGCTTAAAACGGAATTTCATCCTAAAAGGATGAAGAATGTATGTCCCACCCTCCTCTTACCACTTTTGGACATTTTTTTTTTTTTTTTTGGGAGTGGGGCATACTTGGTTTTGGTAGGTACTTACGCCCACATCCGGTCAGATCGCCTAGGTGATTCCACTGGAAGTTCAGCTCCCCCCCTTCCCCAGCTGCCTTCTGGGATATGTCACACAGCTCGCACATGTGCAGTGGGAAGTCAGCTGTGAAGCTTCAGGGAGTCACAGCCGGCTTCCCACACTAAACATGTCAGTGTCAGGGCCCCGAGGAATGGCGAAGAACAGGCCCAGATGCAGACGGTGCAAGACACATGGACAGCTAAGTGTCCTTTTATTAAAAGTCAGCAACTACAGTATTTGTAGCTGCTGACTTTTATTGTTTTATTTTTTATTTATCTCAAAAAGGCTTAAGAACCTCTTTAAGTTACCTAATAAAAGGTATCACCTAAACCCATGTTTCTCAAGTAATGGGTCACAACCAGGGGTAGACTGGGCCATGGGGCAAGTGCCCCCCAGGCCTCTCTAATGCTCCAATAAAATGTCCGGTGCCCTGACAACATATCTTAATGAATACTGCTGGTTGCAGTAATATAAATGTTAAGACAGCCGGGACCGCAACTACGGCTGGCCTTAATATTTGTATTATTGTGGCCAGCCAGGCCCATTAAGGTGTGGTACGCACTGTGCCTTTACAAAGCGATCCTATGGCCCCTGCGCTTAATCGCGCTCATTCCTCCTTTCTCCGCTGCAGTGCTGAGAGGAGGTGACATATAACTTTGCTTCCTTCCAGCCAGCCAGCTGTGCAGGAGGGAAGAAAAGCACCACTGGACACTAGAGAATGACTCCGCTAGATACCTTTCCTGGGTTGTGGCAGGGTGATTGAGAGTGCATTTTGAACGGAGTGAAAGAAAACAGAAAGCGATGGTGATGGGGGGGGAGCGCAAGAAAAGGGGGTCAAGGTGGGTATTAAAGGAGGGAGTGAAAGGGGGATAAGGAAAGAGCTTAAAAGGGGAAAGGAGGGGGGGGGGCAAAAAAGGGTGGGCTAAAGCAGGGCATGGAAGAGGACACTGAAGCAGTGCATGAAATGGCGGGGACTGAAACCCCTCACAGAAATATTGCACAAACAATATTGTTTATTTAAAAAGCCACTGAAGACATTAATACTCTTAACTTAGTGTTCCTTTGAGAGAGGTAGAGGAGGCATTACTCAGCTTAATGGGCTATTAGTGTGAGGTAGAGGGGGCATTGCTTAAAGTTAGGGGGTACTGGTGGATTTTTGTTATTTTATGTATGCTTAAAATAATTATTTATTTCAAAAATCTAAAAAGTAGTGTTTTATTATGTAATTTTCTTGCCATGTTTATTTGTAAACGGGAGGGGGAAGAGTTTCTGCACCATGGGCCAATGTGTGACTCTCGTTCCCCAGGTCAAAAGTTGCCAGCCCTTGTTTTAACCCCCTCATGACAGTGATGTACAAAGTACACTAAGTGTCTGTGACTACATGCGCACATTATATGCCACCTGCCTAACCTTGTAAACACTCTTAGCTTTATGTTTAAAATTACAGAATTTAGCAAAAAAAAGTAATTAAATCAAAATATTTTTTTTTTTACCTCAACAACACTTTCATTTTCACTAGCGCTGTGATTACTGCACTATTTTGGAAGAAAGTCATTTGTTTACTGTTTAAAAAGTGCATCTACAATACTGCACAAGTTGTTTTGTGGAATAAATTATAATGTTTCTGAAATTAAATTATTTTTGGGTCGTGACTTAATGACCACAAACAAATGTGGGTCTTGATGTTCTACAGGTTGAACCACTGACTTAAGCCAACCTTTTCCAATGAGGGTGCTCAGGTTTCTTCAGGGGTGCCTTGACAAAATGATTAAAAATTGCCCAAAAAATTGTATACAAGCGAGCAGGTGGATCAAGCCTGCCTTTTAGTTACGCAGTGTCACAGGTTTGCATTGTGAACCATTAACATCTTCCAGCTACTGGCGTCCTAACAACCAATGACTTCATCAGTTGATAAAAAGGACATCAGGTGCCTGCATAGCATCCTTGTGCAAGGGAGAGAAGCATTGCAATACAAGTCAGTACCAGTGTGAAAGGTTTAATTGCTTCGAAAAATCACTCATGTTGGGTTGTCCTACATGTGTGGATGTGGCTGCATTATGTAACACTATTAGTTTAGTTTTTAAATTATAGAATAGGGTGCCTTGAGATCGTTCATAATTTTAAATGGTGCCTTGACTGACAAAAGGTTGAAAAGCACTGACTTACACTACCAACTTTCTGTTTTAAAACACTGCACCTATGCTAAAAAATGTAGAAAATTCTTCTCCAATTTCTACTTTATCTTAAAAAAAAAAGAAATGTAGACTGCTAGAAATAATGTGAGGGAACAGGGTGACCTTTGGAGAGTTGGACACCTGAGTAGGTAGGTGAACTGAGGACAGTAAAAGGTTTGCTTGTGGATGGGAAAAAAAGCATTGCACTACAGCTGGGCAAGGACAGAAAGATTATAGTCTGGGTAAGCAGATTGTTAACTGGGAATTGGTGGGGAGGGGGCGATAGTGGCCACTGGAGACCCCAGTAACTAGAAAAGGGCAGAAAGTTTTTCAGCTGGCCTTTAACTACATTTCATATGGAGATAGATAGTGGCCTGGTTTGAATGCATTTGTGTTTTGTAACAATTTTGCAACCCCTACTAGATTTTGAAGAGTGGTAATTTGCTGCATATAAAGTGCCCTACAGAAATTTTTACTATTTTACTGTTTTGCATGAAGAATGCTTATAGAACATCAGCTGGGTATGTTTTTTCCTTTCATCCTCACTCTTCTTTCTTTCATATTAAGCTGACTACACTAAGCTAGGAATGTCTGCCTGTGCTATTCTTTACATTCTTTGCTTTACATGTGTAACTACATTTTTCAGCATTTATTACAAAAACACAAACCTTGGAAATCTGCGGTTTGCTAATGAAACTCTCTGTTTAGTTTTCTTTGCAGTATTTCACATCTGTTTATGTTTATTTATCAAGCCTAGCTTCTAAAGGGTTTATTTAAGGCTCATTTGCACCGGAACGCTGTATGGGAAACTTGTGTCCCGTGTGTGTTTCTCGCATTATGTTCAAAATGCACTGGGTGTGCAATCTGCTGCAGGCATCAATATAATCCTAACAACACCAGAAATGCAGGTAGAAAACGCAATGCATTTGCTTTCCCCATATTGCATGGTACTAAAGTACCATGCAATCCAGTGCAGTGTGTTTTTGAAAAGTGGTGCATGCTCTATTGGTGCGATCCAGTGCATTTTCAGCCCTTTCAAATGGATGGACTGAAAATCGCACTGGACCGCACTAAGTCACACAGGAACACAAACTGCTGTCCTGTGCCCCCATCTCTTACTGGTGTGTGTAGATTATAAGGGACAGAAGCAAGAATAGTGAATTGTTCAAGGGAACCAATGGTGAATCACTGCAAATGTCCAGAAAGTGATCATGGGCAGTAGCTATAACATATCCTGTTATAAATACAGCAAATGTTATTGAGAAATGAGTTGTCCTTTGAAGGTATGGGAATCAAGGTTTGTAGTGAATGGGACTTGGTCTTGTGAACTCTCATACAAAGACTAGTCTTCATGAATGCAGCAAAAGATCTGATGAGTATTCAGTGGTTAGCAATCGGTGAAGGATTGAAAAGACCAGTTGTTTAACCATTTGCCGCCCGCCCTATGGCCGAATGGCGGGCGGCAAATGTCATCAGCGTTCCGGGTTGGACGCCATATGGCGTCCTCCCGCACATGCGCAGATTGCGCTCCTGCAGAGCGGCGCGATCTGTCACCGGCCGTGTACCTCGCACACGGCCGATGACAGATCTGAGTATCGGCCCCATTGCCGGTACCATGTGACCTGCTGTGACCAATCACAGCAGGTCACATGACAGTTGTATACAATGGATGGCTTCATTCATGCCATCCATTGTATACTAGTGCCAAGCTGTGAATGGTCACAGCTAATCACATGCACATGTCATGTGATTAGCTGTGGCCAAATCACAGCTAAGCACAAAAAAAAAAAAAAAAACCCTGAATGAATCGATGTCATTCAGGTAAATGCTTGCTTATAGCAAAGTAATTCTTTGCTATAAGCAAATTGTGTAAAATTTGTGTAAAAAAAAATAGTGAAACTAACTTTTTTAATTTTCTGAAAAATTATGACAAAAAAAATACAACTTAAAAAAAAAACTCGCCATGCCTCTTATGAAGTACGTCGGACTGTCTACTTTTCAAAAAGGGGTCATTTGGGGATATCTGTACTGTTCTGACATTCTTGGACCTCATGAAATTAGATAGGCCGTCAGTACTTCAGGATTGATCAATATTCAGATCTATGCCATAGTTTGTGAACTCTATAACTTTCCTACAAACTAAAAAATACATCCTAATTTGGGTTATTTTCACCAAAGACATGTAGCAGAATACATCTCG